ATTGAAATGGTAGGCACCACCAGAAATTGCTTTTCAATGACTGATTCCATTGAGCCTAACTTAGCTATGCAATCCAAGGGAAACTACACACTTCCACACAAGGTTAAAGGTGCATTAAAACACCTGTATAGTGAACTAGGATGTGATTTGCCTCACCTGGTTACATTACACTGATTTACAATTGTTCCACTTAGGTAACTAATCTTTCCCCCAGCTTCCAGGTCCATAAGCTAACACCAAACTCCATTTTTTCTTAGGTAAATTCATTAAAGAAAAAAAAATCTGTAAAAGTGGAAATTGATAGAAGCCAGGAAACTATTACCAAGTGCAGCTCACCTGTGGGTTATCCATGTACCACACCAGGCTGTCTTCTCGTGTGTCCAGGATGAAGTACCTCCGCAGGAATTTCCCACTATTCTCATTTTCTTCAATGTCTAGGAAACCACAGATGCGATTCTGGCGATCCACATAAGGCATTTCTGACCCTGGACATCACACTGCACAACACAAAGCACTGAAGTTAAGCAAAGTTCCTCCTTACTGATTTTAAGACTGTTCTGTGCCTACTCGTGACATTTTGAGCAGTTTCAGCTGGTAGCTTAAAGAAGTTTCTACGGAAGAGTAAGTGAGGTGTAACTGCTCCCCCACTACCACCACTGAATTTTTAGCTAGGTCTTTTGTTCTTCTTTGAAGGATACCTAATTATGAATATTTAAAGTTACAAGTGGAAAATAGCAGATGAGCACCAAGGCTAGCTTTTACCAGAAGCAAAGATTCTCCTTCACAACATGCACCAAGCTGAGATAACACCAGGGTTACACTTCCTCCTTTGACATTGCCTTTCATGGTCAAGAAGCAATCTTTTTCAGTAGCTCTACTGGTCAAAGTAATTGTTCATATTTTCCTTAGGCAAATTCAATAAAAAGCTTTTAGAAACACGGTTCACATTTTTCTTTTCTCCTACAGAAAGCACTTCATGTCTAACTGAAGAAGAGACATCTTTTCATCCTTATGCACTGAACAGCCAAAATGCAGTTGTGCGTGCAGCAAAGGAGACATGAACACACTTCCTAGTCCAAAACTGAAAGCCTCAGTATCCACATGGTACTAAGGTCTGAGGGTGACAGGCTTCTATTTATTTTGGCTTTCAGTTTCGGAGGGTTATTTGCCTTTTCTTTTGCTTTAAAATAAAACTCAAAACTGCACTGCTGACCACCTATTCCCACTCTGCCTTCTTCACCTTTTATGGCTCTGCCTTTCTGCAAGCTATTGCATCACTGGTTTTGCTTCCTTTTATTTTATGGGACAGTCATGTTACCTTCAGAGCCAGCCCTGTAAAACCAAAGATAAATTTGCGTATCCATCTAAAAATGGCAATAAACCAAAATTCAGATGACAGAAATCAGATCGATGCCAATCCTTCCCAGGGCAGGGAAGAAATTATTCATTCTTCTTTGTATTTTGTTGTAAAACTCAGAAATAGTACAGATCCCAAAATATTAACGTGAGACATACAAGGTTTAAGCACTTCACCTTTTTCATAACATTTTCCAGCTTTCACTGCGTAATAAGGAAGTTTCATTTTCATATTTCTTTATTATTTCCTTACAGTTACTTGATTATAAGTACAGTTATATACACACAGAATACAACAGGCACCTGATAACTAGATACTGATATACCACAGTGAAATATGATATAGTTTTTAAAGTGTTGTTTTGGGGGAAAATCGGTGTTTATTTTGGGGAGTCAGATGCAGAATAACCATATTTTTTGGGGGGATTGATGTACAAACACGTAGATGTGTGCTTGAATTTACTGCTGTCAGTGTATATGACTAATCAGAACACATGCCGAATTTTGGTTCAACCAGCCTGACAAACAGTTTTAAAAACCTATTATCGTGATTTTCATACCATAATAGAATAATTTCTAGAAAATAGTTGTAAGTCATTTACCTCAATCTGGAAAATCACTAACCTTTTTTGTGCCCAACATCGAACTAATCCTCTGGTGCAAACTCCAGTTTACCACATTAAGCTTTGCATCAGGGACCAAATCGAATCACCTCAACTCAGTGGGACTTGCAAAAACTGAAGGAGACTCAAATATCCTAGTGAGGACAGACTAATAAAAATGTTAGTGGCTTGCTTTTTTAATCTAAGCTATTGAATTCTAAACTTAAATGCTTTTTTGGGTATAACAAAGTTAACACACTTTGAGATGTAAGACATTTTCTATGTAGCTACAAGGATATTAAATGTGTATGAGCTTTCCATTAAGTACTTGACTGATTTGCTTTAAACTACCTCCAAAAGGTAGAAGAATCTCTGTATTTAAGGTATGCAACAATAGTTTAAATAAGCAAATGCCTGTTTTCCAATAAAGGAAGAAAATTTATAAGGCAATTCTCATTTTCTTGGTATGTTCCTCACAATTTAAACATCACAGATCTAAGACAAGACCTGTAGCCAAGTCGTAAGCAACACAAAAAAATTAACACTTGAGCACCCTTAAGACAATATCACAATTGTAACCCACACTCATCAGTAATTCAATTCTTGGCTCCTGGGATCACTTCACACTGAAGCAGCATCTCCCCATAAACACATCTGTAGCTGAGGGCAAGGGTAGCTGTTCTCTAAATTATACCCCTAATCTGGCAGAACTTGGCATGACACAGTTTCCATTTAAATGTGTATGAAAATTGTCATTTACCAGTATTTGTCCCAAGCTGTGCCAGGTGGTCCCTCAACAAAACATACAGCACATCCGGACACCATTTCAGCCTCCTATCAGCAGTGTATGAAGGCCAGAAAAGCCCTGTGCCTAAAAAAAGTAAATATTGGTGGCTGGTTTCCTGTCTGAGCAGCCTTAAAGCTGTGTCCTCTGCAGATGTGATGAAAATGAAACAAGGAAAACTTGTTTTTGAAACAAGATACGAATTGATTAAGAATCCCTGAATAAAACCAACTGGATTTTCAAAGCACTTTTCCCCCTATAAGAGAATCTATGCTTCAAAAAAACCTTTCAAGAAAAATGAAAGGAGGATACTCATAATGCTCCATTATGAACAGACAATTAGCTAAAGTTGAACTACTCCAATACTGAAATTTATTCTTTTCCAGGGCAAAAGACAAAATCCAGAAGCTTTTTCTTATTTGTCAATAAATCAATTCTCATGGGGGGGGGGAAAAAACCCTAAATTAATACAGATTTTCTACTTTGAGGTACTATTAGCTAATTTCTAGCCTACAAAATGATACTATTTGCAGCTCCTCTGTTTTCTGATGGAGATACAGCATAAACTGATATTAATTTAAAAACTGAAGCTGTGTAACTGCTGTTTTCTTCAGATTAGTTTTCAATTCCTCATGGGATTACTGACCTCTGCCAGACTGATGCTCTTAAAAGAACAAGAGATTAAAATACTTAATACACTGAAATCTAACAATATCATACAACATTTTTCAGTTTTAAAAGTCTATTTCCACCATACTTCTTACCACCTTGGTAAGACTCCTCTGTAAATTAACACCAGTTCTATTCAGCATTAATGAACCACAGAGGTTTTAACACATAAAATAAATCAATTTGTGCTTTTCTTCCACTTACTAAAGTGACTGAACATACATGACAAAAACACCACCATGACACCTTCCTGGCAACTCCTGACAGGTCAGAAAGCACTGAACTGCCACATTACTTCTAAAGGTTCACATGGGTTAGTGCAGAACTCCAACATTAATTCCTCAGCATAGGAAATCTGGTTGGAAGACCAGCAGCCTAACAATTCACCAGAGCTTCAGCTTAGAAGTGTCTCCAGAATATAGATCCTGTCTTACATAGATGTGATTTATTTTTCATGGAATTGTTTCATGAATTATTTCAGGCAATTCTAAAACAAAAATCTCCCAAGTCTGTGTATGTTTTACAGCACTTATTGCACGCACCCTTAGTTATTTTCTACAGCAGAATCTGCAGCACAGAACAGTGCATTAACTCTTCTGCCCACTTCTAGAATCAAATATAATAAAAAGCTTATGAGTTCTTAGAGAGAAAAGCTGAAAGCATTAAACCTTTTACAACTGCATTTTACCTCTCCTTCCCTCTCCAGTGGGGGGGCAAGGCAGGGCAGATGTGGGTCAATGACATAGTGCTGCTTCAGTAAAATCACTCCTGTGGCCCATTTCCCCTCTCCCGAATCCACCAGAAACTCGGAGATATTCGAAAAACTGGTTTTGTGCTGTACAGTGACACTCTAAGAATTCAGAACCCTCTCAGCTCCTTAAAATTCTTCCCTGGATGGTTGTGTTCTAATCCAAACAGGAGGTCTCACTTATTTTTGAAGTCTTACATCCCTCTTTCCAGTGGCAGTGTACTAATTTAAGGAGGTACATACCTCATCAGCACAGCTTCTCTCAGATTTCCCCTCTCCCCACTCTTTTCCTCTGAGGTACACCATATCCTGACATTCCCCAGCATTTATATCCCACACTGCATGGCCTCCTGGGCACCACTATAAATAAAACCACACATCACCTTCTCCAGGCTCACTGTAAATGCATGACTGCACAAGCAGAACCTGCAGAGGCACACGAGCATCTTTTCACCATTTATAACAGAAGATTTAAGCTCTCCTACATCAATTTCTATTTTTAGTCTCCCACCAGCACCTGTTCCTGACTTCACCTCCACCACAGGCTGGTAGCAGCCTCCGTATCTCAAGCCCAAAGTCTAGACAGGACTGTTACAGTGGTTTGCCAGGTATCATTTCTATGGCCCAATCTCTCCGTTGAGAGATAAGATTTGATTCCCACAGGTAGGTCCAAACCATGATCACTGGCTGACTAGAGGAAGTGAAGTTTTGAGTGGATAAAAGTACCATGCAATAGAATTTGCACTATCCACAGCAAAGCTTGACTAAGAAATTCAGCAAGATGAGCACTACTCCTTAATACCACCTGAAACCTGCCTCAAAGGAGGCTGTAGCCAGGTGGGGTTAGTCTCTTCTCCCAGACAGCTAGGGACAGGATGAGAGGACACAGTCTCAAGCCACACTAAGGGAGGTTTAAGTTGGATATTAGGAAGAAATTCTTCCCATAAAGAGTGATTAGGCACCGGAATGGACTGGCCAGGGGAGGTGGTGGAGTCACCATCCCTGAACGTGTTTAAGGAGAGACTGGAAGTGGCACTTAGTGCCATGGTCTGGTTGACATGATGGTGTTAGGTGACAGGTTGGACTCGATGATCTCAGAGGTCTTTCCCAACTTGATTGATTCTGTGATTCCTAGCTTCATTTTACATGTCTTTTCCCCAAGCTTTGGGTATAATTTACTACTTTAATTTCTTTAATTTAGAGTAACAGCTCTACCTCCTGCTCTAATAACGTATGGACATTTGGAACTTTGGATTTAACTTACCCCAGGAGACGACTCTGGGGATCTTTTTCTATTAGCTACGATTAAGAAACATACATTACCTCTTACTCATCTCTGTGA